TTATATTGAGACTCCCCGTTGCTGCGAACCTCTGGACTCCACCGGCAACCGAACCAATCATAGCTAGAACTGGTGGCTTGGCGATCTGGTCATGCAAGAGTACTTTACATTTTAGGTATGCAGATCACATGCCAAAACGAGTAGCGCTACGCGTTAGATTATTCATCAGTTACCATTTTCCGACCCATGCAGTCGTACCAGCCGTATTGCAACACTGTAAACCATCCAGCATGTATAACTCAGTCCTAATAAGCAGCGAAGAATTTTCCTAACTGCACTGGCTGGCTTACTGAACTACCTCCTCGTGATGCCCGCTGGGTGGTTCGGGTGTCCCCTTTTCCAGCAAAGTGTTCGGCGACAATGTTCCACCTCGGTGGGACATTGTATTCCAGCAGGTGTGCTGACTTCATGGGGCGTATTGGGCTTCTGTGACTCGGTCAAGGACGAATTCTACCGATATCTACAACAGCTCTTGACTAATGCTAAAAAGCCGGATGTCGTTATCCTTGCTGGGGATTTTAATGCACGGGTTGGCCGCCTGTTACCATACGAATGCCACCTTGGTGATCATCACTCGCTCGATGAGAACCGCTCTGATAACGGAGAGAGACTTCTGACATTGTGCGAAGACAACCGTCTGTTTCTTTCGAGCACTAACTTCAGGCGTACGAAGAAGCGTTCCGCAACGTGGCGTCCCCCTTCTTCAACACAACCGTAGTCTCAAATTGATCACATTGCAATTAGCTTCAGATGACGCGGCAGCGTACTGCACTGCAAGTACTTTTGGTCCACCTTCTTTGACTCAGATCATGCTCTGGTCTGCGCGAAAGTCTGTATGTATTTTGGAGGATACCGAAACACGAAGCACCGCAAGGTTGATGTAAACAGTTTAACTGATTCCTCTGTCCAGGAGAGATATCAGTCTTCACTGGCATATGCACTCAGCTTCAATCCACCACAAGAAGTGGAACAACACTGGACTTGTATACGGAAGGCAATGACCATTTCCGGGCAGTCATGCTGCGTCCTAACTCGACGCCCTTTGAAGTCTTGCATCTTTGCTCATCTTCTGGAGCTGTTCGAACTGCGCAAAGATATCCCCGCGGAATCAGATTGCAACGAGCGGCGGCGTTTTGCCAACCGGCTGCTCAAGCAAAGCCTACGCAAGGATCGCGAGACGTGGTGGTCTGAGCGTGCTTTAGAGATGGAGACTGCTGCCCTCTCTGACAACACTCGCAGGCTTTTCCAACTCATTCGGTCCACTGGCCTCAGGAAGCCTGGTGTCAGTGAAGTCATTTGTGAGGCGGATGAGTCTCCGCTCACCAACCAACAGAGGCGTATGGATTGCTGTGCCGAGCAATTTCACTCGCAGTTCAACTGTCTTCCACCATCCATCAGTACATGCAGTACACCTTGTTGTCCACCCTGGCTCGTCCCATTGAATCCACCCAGCGAAGCGGAAGTCTGCCTCGGGATTCGACGCTTGAAGCGCTTCAAGTCTGCCGGCTTAGACGAACTTCCTCCGGAACTATTCAAGTACGGCGGTGTGGCGATCATTAACCAGCTGACCGCGCTGTTCGCAAAACTTTGGCATGAAGAGAAAGTGCCTTCCTCTTGGGGCGAATCAGTTATTGTCCCGATTTTCAAGAAAGGCGCTTGCACTTCATGTGCAAATCATCGCGGGATTAGTCTTATTTCGATTGCCTCTAAGCTGTTGGCATCCATTTTGCTTCGCACACTATCCCCATTAAGTGAATCATACTACCGTGAAGAACAAGCTAGTTTCCGTCCTGGTCGCGGATGCGTGGATCAAATCTTCACGCTCCGCCAGCTCCTCGAACATCGCCACATTTATCACAGGCCCACTATCATTGCATTTCTAGACATACGTGCCGCTTTTGACTCCGTTGATCGACCTGCTTTATGGCGTTGCTTGCTAAAGAACGGGGTGCCGGATAAATATACCACCATCTTACGAGCACTTTACCTTCATACTTCCGGGAGAGTGAGGGTCTATGGCAAGCTTTCCTCGCAATTCACTGTCAATAGCGGTGTGCGACAGGACTGTCCTATGTCCCCATTCCTCTTCAACTTCGCAATCGAAGACGTTCTGTCGAATGCTCTAGAAGGTTTCTAACATTTTGGCCTAGTGCTTCTACCAGGTGAGCTTGCGACCGACTTAGATTATGCTGATGATATCGCCTTACTTGGTGACGATCCTCAGAGTATACAACACATTCTGGATCGTTTGGCGGTTGAAGCATCTAAGTATGGCATGAGCTATGCTCCATCGAAGTGTAAAGTACTGCTCAAGGATTGGCTTTCACCTGCTCCCGTACTCACTCTCGAAGGTGCACAACTTGAACAGGCAGATAGTTTTGTCTACCTTGGGAGTAGTGTTTCTGCTGACGGCACTATCAGCAAAGAAGTTTCTCTTCGTATCGCTAAAGCTCGATCAGCATTTGTCAATCGGAAGCACTTGTGGCGTCGTCGCAACGTCTCATTCTCACTAAAGGGTCGCGTTTACAGCGCATCAGTTCGCTCAATATTGTTGTGTGGGTGCGAGTCCTGGCCGATTCGCGTGGAAGACATGCGTCGTCTTTTCGCATTCGATAACGGTTGCTTAAGGAGGATCGCTCGTGTTTGGTGGCAACATCGAGTTAATAGTAATGACGTTCGACGTCGCATCTTGGGGAATGCGAGTATTCCCTTCAACAAACTGGTTTTGTTGCGCCAGTTAAGATGGCTCGGTCACGTCCTACGCGTGGTATCTGAGTGTCTACCGCGTCGCGATCTATTCGCTCGTCAAGGACCTGGCTGGAGGCGACCGTGTGGTGGTCAGCCTTCCACTTGGCGGCAGCACATGAAAGCGCTGACGTCGTGTCTATCCGCTGTTGGATCCGTCCGTCTTCCAGGATGGGGACCCAAAGATGAGGAGTGCCAATGGCTTAGCACTCTTGAAGATATGGCCCGCAACCGGGATCAGGGAAAGAGTTGTGTACAGTATTGTATTGATTCACATGTTTAATTCTACAAACATTAAATTGACAAAAAAAGAACAAAAGCGGCGTGTGAAAAACAAACTAAAAATGTTTTCTGCTTTTTATCAAAATGTTCCATTCTTCCTGCGGCATATTAGTTGAAGTGTGTTGCTCACCTTCAACTAGCATGCCACGATGATTATGACTCGATGAATGTTGCTTGTCTGCTGATCTCTATGATTTTATGCTGGCTCTGTGTCTAATTAATAGACTGTTAAGATTACATACCTAACTGCACTTTACTAATCAATCCTTGCAAGGAATATCAATTCGTCGACTACTTGAGATGAGAAAATATCTTAATGAGTAAACCGATCAAGCGTTTCCAGGCCTCTTTTGCTGATGCTGTAAACTATTGATGTACCTGCCCTGTTCTGTGGGGCTCCTTTGCATTAATCTGCGTTAGCTTATTCAGCAACAATTGCATAATAATCAGGTAAAGTTTAATGGGATCTGTCATTCGCGTGACATTTGGTCCCCTAACAGATCCTCTACTTCGGATGACAATGAAGCACGCAGATGTCTTATTGCACAACGGAAACCACTATGCATCTGTATCAGTTGCTAACTCAATTTAGCATAAAGAGGAGTGTGAAAATATCAAAACCTTTTGGTGAACATATGCTGTAACGATCGCAACTGGATTATTTACGTGGGTTTAAAGATAGTGACCTTTTTAATTGGACAGCAAAGTGAATATGCAAACTATGCTTGCTTAACGTGCTTATAAGGCAGGAAGGCTGAACAGCATCGTTATACGAAAGGGACCTGACCGACGTAGGAAGACATGAATTTAGGCACAGCGAACATCATCAAGAAGCCTTTGATCAACAGAGAAAGCATTGTTCTTTCTCCGCACCAAATAAAGTTAGGGCTGTTGAAACAATTTGTTTAAGCACTGGACCAAGATGTTGCTTGTTTTAAGTGGATTTGTAGATCATTCCTTGAACTTAGTACGGAGAAACTTTAAGCCGGCATCTTCGATGGTACCCAAATTCGACAACACATTATTGCTCGAAATTTTACAGCATGTACGAACAGTCTTGACTCACGTGCTGCGATGGTTTTGTCTCCGTTGACCAACACTTCCTGGGTAACTGTAAAGCATGGAACTATGAAGAATTGGTGGATAAAATGCCTGCAAATTTTGACACATTGGGTTGTAACATGAGCATAAGGTTATATTTTCTCCATTGCTACTTGGACATATTCCAGCATTTAACATGGTGACTTCAGCGGAAAAACATAGTAGGAATGTAAACTGATGGAAAGTGGTATCTAGGCAGACTGGACAGATAACTAATGGCAGACTACTGGTGAAGCATCTTAGGTAACTTTCTAGATGACAGCAGGAAATAGTAAAACGGCGTTTTATAAAAATTTTACTGTCCTGACATACACTAGTTGAGTAGACTATTTCTTCAGTTCCCGTGTACACAATGCCATTAGATATTTCCTGTCTACATTTGTAGTATAAAAAGCAATTTTCATATGATTCTTAGACCAAGTATTGCCTTGTATTCAATCATATTATGCTTTTTTGGTGCTCCGTATCTCAAAAAATAGAACCAAACTAGCAAAACCGAGGCCAAATTCGCAACCGTTAACACGTAATTACCCTAAAATCACTGTACTCTATCTGTTACATAAACCACTGTTGATCTAAGGCCCTCAGTCAACACTCTGGTCGACTTGACCGAGCTTGCTTCATTTCTTATTGTCCCAACTAATAGTTTCCATCTGGTACGGTCATGTCCGCGCATTTCTATCTCTAGCATTTCATATTAAAGTGTGCGTCTCTTGTTCAACTGCTATTTGCTTAGTGAATCAATGCCCAGTGTTCTGTCACGAAAGACTGGAGGAACTTGCAAGCATATCTGGGCACGAGGGAATGTATTTCCGCAAACCTCCTTTCGATTCTCGTTTAGCTGATTGTGTTCTGCTCTTCCATCTTCTCAGGTCTCCTACCTCAACTCGGGTGGGAGCAAGCCTACGACGTGTGTCTCAAACAGGTGGTTCCTTCCCACTTTCACAACGCATTCGAGCTATTAATTGATCGAATAACTGACCTCTTTCTTGAACTACCCGCTCATGTACCAGGTAAGGACGAACCCGATTCCTTTATTCTCATAGTTGCAATCTGGCACATTTTTTGTTCTGCTCGCCCTTATCTTTGCACCGTTTCCGGTTTTGTCCGTTGATTGTTTACCCCAATTCACATGCAACTGATCTCTCTATTCGAAAGTTGGCTACCTGGGAAACAGATTTTCAGTCTTTTTGTAAAGATGTTAGCGATTTATTGCCTTGTTCAGTAGGTTGACAGTACTTAATACTATGGGTGTTCATTCGCATTTTCTTAATGGGCCATACAGTTTTGACCTATCATACTCGAATTTGTTTCACCCGAACGCAGGCTGGTAGACTTTTGTTCGCATGGCTTGATAAAAGCGAACTACAGAAGCCCATTGTATGAAATCCCATTGTTAATTTTCCTGTCCTACTGTCAGGACCATGGCCACTTCGGTTCTATTCAATCTTATTTGCTAACTCGTAGGCATATCTATTCCCGTCTCGTATTACGTCTATACAGTTCTATAATTGTCTAATTTTGCTGATTCTACTGGGTTACTGTCGCCCTGTTTGCATGTCAGACACAGTATCATGCATGTCGACACAAGATTCACTATTCGCCGATTCCATGTTTCATTGGACTGCTGCGCACATCTTTCTGGATCGAGAGGCACGCTGTCTGTCTTACCATTTAAAGCTTGCGAACACGCTACTCGGATCGAAGCAACACATTCAGGCAGCAAAATGCGAGCTCGATCCCTGTCTGAATGCTCCCGGACACCGTACAACGTTTTTGTGTTCTCACTGTAGTGAATCGAGTCTCCCTTTTTAAGATTTGCGAAAGTGCTTGAGGGTGCCGACTTTATCAGCTTCCCAGCACATCACTGTTTCTGTTTTCTCTGTCTCTATTCTATACCTTATGTTGTACACACGTAGTTTGATTGAAAACAGACCTATCACGTTGGCACCTTAGCCACGTCAGTCATCTCTCGTGGCAGCGTTTATGGTGTTAAGGTACATGTTGACATCACAGTTTACTTTGTGACGTTTACGTGTTTCTTTACGAATGCGGGTACTCGATAAAGAGAAAAGATGTGTTATTACTAGTCTGCGTTTGTCCACCTATGGTTTGCACACGCACCTACTATTGTCATTTTAATGAGCTGTGACTTAAATAATGTAGGCAGTGGTTGGACTTAGACAGAGAAGTGTTATTCTAACAACAGCCATCTCTCGATCCCATTAGTACAACTGAAATTGGTTACAGTCAAATTTCCCTATTTGGAGTACCGTTAGACCGGTTTTTTCCTGTGTTTTCTGGCGGGTTGGATTTACTTACATTTTTACTAATTAGGCCTCCTTACTTCCAACGCGATTAACCGTTCTATTGTTTCCATCGCTTTAGAGTGATTGCACTCCATGTGAATACGCAATGGGCTTCTTTATTTGTCCGTTACGTAGCTACATCTTTTTGCTATCCCGAAACGCTCCTTTAGGTTAGCACGCCTCTGTGCGCATCTTAGGACACTAAGGAATGTTGAGTATCACGTAGATCACGGGAAAAATTCAACGAAACCAAGACCGGGGCTGAGATACTGTGCTCGTGTTCCAAGGCCGCTCTATCTTTTAGTGGCGCCCAACAACGTCGCCGGAAATGGCATGAATTGGCTAAGCTTTTTACCTTAAGCATTCTCAGCGCCATTCAGGATGCCTTGACCTCAAACCTCAAAAGCGCCTCTTTCTCGGACATTGGGACGCACTGGAGATATGTTTGTAGGTCCATGCACGAGTCTGCAACCCTGATCTGGAGTTTCACCAGTGATCCTGTCAATCACTGGATCTCTACACAATCTGTCCAGCTTCTCGAAGCCCTTAGAGCAATTCCCGCCGGTGTTGGTTGCCACTCACTGCGCGGGACTACCAGCGCTGATTTCGAGCAGCTCCTCCGGTGGGGGATCACAAACTTTGGTGGAAGCGGCGGATCATGGTGATGGAGTAAACAGTTACTCTCCGCAAGCTTTTCTTTCTGATCTAAATACACTGGTAGCAACAAGCCCATTGTAAGCAAAGTCTTGCACGAAACCACTGACGAGATAATCCACTGTTAACAACGTCGAATTGTTCGTCCAGCTAGACATTTTAAACACCAGTTTAACTAGAAAGCAGCACCGATGAGTTCCTGTTCAGGAACGCACGCTACTCCGTTGTATGTAGACGTTTCACCATCTGAAGCCGAGATTATTTACTTGCTTCGCTTCTTAAGTGTCACAAAATCCCTTCCTCATATGAACATCCTCCGGCATATTTTCAGAAGTTGCCATTCACTTGAATGAAAGTTAACTTCCATCCTCCAAAAGATTTGCATCATCGAATTATTCGTGTCTTCAAAATTGTACCCCAACCTACTGCGCTATTCGCCGAGATTGTTTCGTCCGAGTGGCTTACCATATTGCTTTTAAGGAGACAGCATGCAATGCGATCAGAATGCACGCGAACAGGTTGTGTTCCACTCAAGTCTGAGTTGTTTCGACCACATCTTCAGATACTTACGCATCGTCAAACATTCGGCCAACCAACAATCTCCAAAACCAACTTAACAATCCTTTTTCTCTTCTATATACGTGCCGTGTTGGACTCATTCGACCAAGTTGCTCTCTTGAGTTGCCTCTTAGGAAGGAGAACTCCCGAGAAACATGTTAAAATTATTCAACTTATTCTCGAGTCTCGAACCGAGTGTGGGTGTAAGGTGTACCTTCTCCCCCCCCCCCCACTTTCAACTCCACCATTCTTGTTCAGTCTCCCTCTGGACGACATCCTGGAAGTGCTCCGAACAACTACGAACCCAGCAGCTTCGAGCTGCTCCCTGGGGACCGACTTTGCGATTTGGAGTACGCAAATAACATTTACAACTTTTCTCAGGCCAACCAAAATGTACTGCGTCGTTTAGCGTTGTGTGTCTTCCGGTTTGGAATGACCTTCGCCCCGTCAAAGTGCAATATATTCCTACTGATTTGCTCGAGCTGCTCCCTACTCTTACCATTCCAGATCATTCTTCGGAAGCGGTGGATGACTTCCTTTGCCTCACAGCTGCTTCAGTACTGATGAACTAACGGGTGAGGCCCATGCGCGTCTACAAGACTCGGGTTACTTTTACTAATTTCCACCACCTCTGACGTCGATATGACTTTGACGTCTCTGAAGTGACGATTCTACAATACCGCTGAGATCGATTCTGTTGTATGCTTGACTCGTAGTCCGGAGGTCACCGTTTCGTATTCGCGTAGGTGCGAGTGACGTTTTATACTCAGCCAACACGCAACCGGGGGTGCTCGCATGGCAGCGATGCGTGGGTGGGTTGCGCCCTGCGTAATGCTGATGTCCTTGCCTTATAGTTGCGTGATTAACCTCTGCTCTTAAAAGGTGTTCAGGTTGTGTCCGTTTTTGATCATCGCTACCTTCAGAGCATTCGTGTACAATGGTAACATCACATTAGTATTGATGTCATTCGTTGACGGATTTTTAACTCCGGCAGATGTTTCCAACCACTGAGCAATATTATGTCATTGCACAGGCTTCGGTGTTTTGGGCGCGTTCTTCGCATGCCAGCTCAGCTTTCACATCACCATACCTATCTTGTGCACGCAGAAGTCGACTGAAAGCGAAAGCAAGGTAACCAGCAAATTACTTGCGCTTCAACTATGAAGGCGCAAACATCAAATTTAACCATGGTCTTCCGCTCTTGATGGAAATGCTTGGACTACGAACGAACCTACCTAGAAACCGCCTCCTACTTGGCATGATTTCGCACCCAATAGTGGGCATGATAACAATGTTGCTTACCTTTTTGAAATCCCCTTTCGTCATATTGGGCTTATTCATCTGTTGTGATACAACCGATTTGGGTACTTTTGGCGAAGTTTATGAGATTGGCAGCATCCGGTTGCGGATTTGCCTGTCACTGCGGCCTCCATATGACAGCCACAGGACGCCTGAGCCTTTATATATATATATATATATATATATATATATATATATATATATATATATATATATATATATATATATATACATATATATATATATACATATATACATATATATATATACATATATACCCTTCTCTGCAAAGGGCCGAGTTTACAATGTCTCCGTCCGATTGATGTTATGTGGATGGAAATCATGACCTGTTCACGTGGTTAGCATGTGCCGGCTTTCGGTCCTCGACATTGGGTGCCTGATTACGGTTGCTTGTGTGCAGTGGCAAAAACGTGTATGCAGCGGTGAATTTAGATGTCGTTAACGGGTCTATCAACAACAGCTTCAGTTTTATCCACTTTCTGCCCACCCTATGCATCAATTTTCCTCCAACTGAATGCATATATGCTCACCTTGTTTCTTTTTTCTCTGTACTTTTTTCGCCATGGCTTCGGTCACAGGTGTTTCAATATCCGATGTGCTTGCTCCCCCTTCTGATCGAAAGGAATGTTATCGTGAGCTTGTGGCCCGGCTTATACTCAGCTTTTACAATCATCTGGATCCTGGGTCTGATTTAGCTGCGGAGAATGGTGACGAACATGAGGGATTCGGTTCCAACGACCTGACTGCCGCCTCGGATTCGGAGACCGAAGTTCGCGATGGCCCAAAGCAAGTCCTTTGTTTGTTTTCTGTCTCCCCTTTATCCTTCCAACTGCACCGCCACATACGTTTTCGGCATATCTGCCTTGTTTCGTTCAGCTCTTTTTCTGAATTTACCGCCATAATAGCCAATATAAAGGAAGTATGCTGACTCGGGAATATCTGTTTGAGCGATGAACTACGTTCGACTCCCCGATCTCCCAGATTGCCTCCTCGTTTGATCTGGCCAGTTAGCTTACAGTCCCCGGCCGTTCATCGGCGGAATGTTTGTTCGGGCGTCTGGTTCAAATCTCTTTAAGTGCGGGTGACTGCATTGATCCCCAGCTCACACGCGACCTCTGGCGGTCACATGGCTTTGATGTCTCGGTACCAGGTACCGGCGCATTTGTGATTTCGCGTCCACTGACAACTCCGTTGAAGTTGGTCTTTGTTGAATTCACTCTGCGTTTGTATCACTGTTATGATTTTTGTTTGACTTCCTTGCGCAACTTATGCATGTGTGCGTTTCGCTTAATTAGTTCTCACCCGCGGTACATTCGAAAGGCTTTCATGAAAATTCGCTGCCCAAGATCTCATCCATCTTAATCTGGCTTACATAACTATTTCAACATACTTGTTCGACAAACCATCCGTAGATCACATTGGGGATTTTTGAACGTCTTGGCGTCAGTTCATGATTTGCTATGGGTAATTGTCCCTTTGTGTAGCTCATAGACACGCATTGTATTGGGCCTCCGTTTCTGTTTTGCCTCATTAACTGCTTGTCATGGTCTAATGTCATCTGATGGAAAGCAGTTTTCACTCATATCACACGCCATTGGGGCGAATTCTCTTCACACTGGCACTCATCCGCAGCCAACGAGAAAAGATTCACTTATTTATTCTTTCGGCATCTCTTCTAGAAATGCTTCTTAGAGTGTGACCATAGCCTTATCTGCTTGGCACTGTAAATGTGGATACTATGGGCAGATTCCTGTCGCCTAACGCATGGCTCATTCCCATCTAAGGTTTTGGGATGATATGAGTGTATTGGTCTCTGCCATGCGTCACAATATGCCTATAAGTTCATGGCATTTATCTTGATTACCAGAGCGCTCACTCCGTTTCAGTCGATGATCCTAACTTCTTGATGCACCTCGCATGGGATTGGCTGCGTTGTTCGATCTGATCATTCATGAACTGAACGGTGAACTGAGTCCATCATTCTTTTACTACACTGTGTTTCCCACATAGTTGTTTGGGTTCCAACGGTTGCTACACTTCGGGGGTCACAATTCACTTATTGTACATGTGGCAGCCATTGGGATAAGTATGTTTTTGCACCATTTCGGTCATCTCTGGGTCTCGTTAAATAGCTGTTGCAACAAACCACTGGTGCTCGCGTTACCCACTTGCCTCCCAATGATCGTTGAGTGACGTTCACTGATCTCCGCTGCTTTTGACTTTAAGAGTCTGCGGCCGTGTTCTGTGATCATTAACCATGCATTCTCCAAATTAAAAGTATGCTTAGTTCAGTCTCGCATACTGCGGCCTTCAATAACAGATCCAGCCGAATTTTAGGAGATTCTGATTCTGGTTGACATTAGGTCTGTGCTGAGTTTCGTTGTGTGTAACTGACTGGTTTGATCGGACTTCTAGACACATTGTTTACGCTTTGGTGAAGTGTACATCTCATTATTTGCTTACTTGTTCTTGGGTGCCTCCCTGGACGACATCGATCTCGTGGTCTGCTGTTGCGGTCAGCTCCATGACTGGGCTTGCTTTGACTTCTACTAGTTTCCCTCGTATCCTAGGATGACAGTTTACTTCCGTTCTGTTTGTCAACTATCTGCTGTTCACGGAAGTGCATTGGATCCATATGCCTTGACATCACCAAAATAAAATTAACTGGCGATAATTTGAAAAGAATGAACAAAAAATTCTCTCGACAAATGCAATAGTTAAGAATTCGAAATGAAGGAACGAATACAGATGTACCATTGAGTGAATAACGATGCCATATTCGATGGGGCGTCCAACGACCAACGTGGTCGAATTGGGGATCCCCATTCAAGGAGATAGCAAGCACGAACCCGACACTACCTCTGGATTTCACCCAACTAGACGCGACATGGTCACGCAAAACGGACCGTTACCTTTGGGTTACATTTGTGTGAAACATATAACCAATTCGGCGGAGACGATTCGAGTCCAGCAAATACCCGGTTGCGGCGCCGAAGGTGCTGTTAAAAAGCGCCAGATGAGAGATCTCAGTACTATTTACCCATTGCTTTTATTAGCTGTGCTCATTACTTTTCAGTTGTCATTGTTATTTCTCGACTACAAGCGTCTGTGATCACATCTGTGATTTATACTTTCTACACGATCATACCATTGGAAAATCACGCTTTACACTGGTTAAGCATCGGCATCTTGCTATCACCACATTTATGTTCGCTTCATGGTTTGTTTTTCAGTGACTGTGTAGTTGTGGGTGGTCGCCAGTATATATTTACGGCTAGAGTTTGCTAATACAATGAGGCCGATCTATCCACTCTCGCGAATCACGGCACTTCTGAATCTAATGACCGCCGACTTCCTTCTTGACCATTCGATACAGCTGTCGGCCGGTTGCGGAGTAGTCTGTGTTCCTGGATTGCAATCATAAGGCCACTGGTTCGAATCCGCCTAGGGGCGGGCGTCCTTGCGGTATACTCAGCCAACGCGCGACTGATGGTGGTTTCACGGCAGCGATGCGCCGTTAAGGCATACAGCTGACGATCTTTTTATGTTAGACACAGCCATATCACATGTCAAGCGAAAACATGTTCCCAGCTTACTTATGCAAATTTGTTCAACTCTAAGGGTTGGTCTCTCTCGGATTACACTTCTCACTTTCATCTGTTTGGATTTTGTAGGTTGATAGATATATTCGGATCTGGGATTAGAACTCCGATACCATATAATTTATCGCTGATGCCTTCACCACTGGGTCGCTAGGCTCTATATGCAACGCCTGTTGTAACAGTCAGGATTTCACTGTGAATATTTTAGTATGCTCGTTGTATATTTGAATTGCGTTATACGATCTTAATATACCATCGATTCATTCCCAATTAGACCTCGTGTATTTGCATCCATTCCTTTACGCTCTCAGCGATCAATGTAGTTAATATATGCCCCACATTTAGTCGCGGTTCGGATCGCGATTACATATCGCACTCCAAACACACGGTAGATCTCTGACTATCTCGGACAAACTCACGTTGATGTTTTAGTAAGGTTGGCTTGGAGTACCCTGGATGTCAGTGCGCGTCAATCATTCGAAACTGTGAACGGACTTTTCATTCGTCACTGGGTGTTGCAGCTCCGACACAGTAACTGCTTAACCGCGTCCTTTTATTTACCATTTTTCTTCCGGTGGCACTTGACCAGTGAATTCACTCATCGGTTTGCCTCCTGTTCTCACGTAAATTATCTCCTTCGGCATTTCGGCCGTCCCCATCTGTGCTTGCCGCAGCCCCAAAATTTACTTATTTTTCTAACATGTGAGTCTTTTTCAGTATTCAACATAATAGTATTTAGTTGCTTGCCTTCCTACACTGCCAAACTCGTTACCGTATACATCTGCACTGTTCCCTGCTCACTTGTCTTAATCCCTACTCTGCACTGCGTCTACGAAATACTATTAGGCAGATCTACTGCTCTTTCTTCCGGTAGAATCCCAGGTAACATAACAGGCAGATTCTCGGCGTCGATTGTGCCGTGTATATGCCGCGATTGTTAGTATAGCAGCATCACACGTTCCACTCTGTCGATTACTCAGCCCTGTTCAACATTTTGCCCGCAATGTGTTCTCCTGAATCATGTGAACGTCAACTTACTCTACATTGGAATACTTCACAGGCCACTTTACTGTCTATGTCGACTTGTCGAATGTATTTCTGGCAAGTGACTCGGTGGAGGCTCACAAGGTTGACTTGGATAATGCATACGAACTCGTTTGCTAATCACAAAAATACACAATCGCCCTATTGATAAAGTTTCTAAAGGAGCTCTGCTCTTTGACATACGCTTTGCGCCTTCGAATTTCGAGGCGCTGTTTCAGGTTCGCTGGCCACTTGTTAGCCCACTACTTTCTACTTTCTCCGTTAACCTGACTAACTGCATATCCTCTTAGCATCAATTATCACTACTTGAAGAGTGAAAAATTGGTGGAGATAGGCGTCGCGAAGTATTAATACTTTCCGCTCCATTCGCTTGTTTGAGACCAATCGGATGGAGCAAACTCCCTTTTACGTTTCTTTAAAGATCATATGAGCCATTTAAATTATTGATCCTGCTTCATCCCACGAGCTTCAGCGTTGCATATATCTGATTCCTTTTCATTCGGCTTCCAAAACCTAAATAGCAAGATCTTTTGACGATTACTTGATGAACTATTTAGGTACGTACCACGCGCTTGTTGCTCTCTGCTTTCATTTTAAAATTATTTGCTTCTTGGCAACCCTCAAGATGCTTAGCTACTCCTGTTCTCATGGCTGAGCTTTTCCTAACTCCCCGCATTTATTCGTTTTCACAGCAGTGTTTCAGACGCGGCTTTATCTCACTGTTACATCGATAATCTGTTGATGTCTCTCTTGTTTTCCCTTGTTTTGTAGCTTGGAGACCGGTTCGTCTACAGTAGCATCTGAGCTTAACCCAGCCTACGTTCAGGCCGCTTTGGATCGGTTTGATCATTATTGTCGCAGCAACAGAAAGCGCACAATACCTAGCTTCGCAGCTGCCGCTGAAGAAGATCGCCTCGCCATCGATACGATGACGAATTCCATGCAACCGATGGCGATTGACCCACCGTATATGAACCAGGATGAAGATAAAGCCGATGTTTTGCCCCATCCGATGCCGGTGTTCCCGAAGCCTACTGAGTCTGATCAGTCTGAGTGAGTCTCTTTGCAACTTCATTTTTCCTTTCAAAGTGTTGTCGCACCTCACTACACGTGAGTGCATAGGCCCCAATAACCTAAACAGCCTTGGGCCACTCGTCAATTGCTGATATGTGGAATGCTTTTGAACATCTAATAATCTGTCCACTGGCATGTATTCGGTTCTAGTACACACAGTGTCGCCTCAGCCGTTGTCAGCTGATTCATTGCTTGCACTTTCTCTTTGTTTGCTATGTCATTTCCAATTGGTTGGTTCCAATTTCTAAACGGCGATACAGCTTAAAGATGCTAAACAGTTGCACATTCTATGACATTGCATTTATCGAGTAGACCAGCATCCAGGATTTTTCTCTGAATGCAGTAATGGTCAACAGCTCATCAGCCTGTCAGCTTTGTTATTAACAGACATTTCTCTTCACAAGTCAGGATACTCATTAGATTGCCTCTATGCCTTTTCTGAAACTACATTGTTCTACTCTCCGTAACGATGAGAGACTAGAGTGTCTCTGCTATTCATATCTTTTGTCACACTGACTGCTAAACCTAACATGTTTAAATCCCAACTCCATCTGATGTCGCACTGCACCTAACATACACGTTATTGATCTTATGGACAGAAACTGTTGTTCGTAGCGATGTACGTGAAAGCGGACGAAATGAAATGTGCTCTTAAACTACTGTAACGACCGGTATATCCTTAATCGCTAAAGCGAAAATCATGGTTGTTGGGTCTCCCATCTGGGATACCTCGTTCCTTTCGGGTACCCCGACTAATATGACAAGTGAATTCACGTAAGTCGATTACGTATGCAAGAACACCAATTTTCCGCAGATACCAAAATCTGCCTGGAATGTCGCGCAATTGGTGGAAACGAAACTACAGTTCTAAGCAGCTGTACACTCTGGCGTACTGGTTGCCTAAGTTACGCTCTGACGGCCCAACATCCATGATCACAAATTGACCAATAAAGTGTCAGCTGTAAATGGCGTGGTTCTATCTTCGACTGCCGCTCCATTTGGTGTCTTATTCCACAATCATTTTTCCCGCGAAGCTATTTCATCCCATAGCTGAGCAAGCTTGTTGAGTTGCACTGCATATTTAGTCTTCATTTAATCACTTTAAAGTGTATCGCGCTTCTTTTGAATCGAGAGTATTACTGCCACAAACGGCGCTACAACTTGTTTGTGACGTGATCAATGTTCAACGCACTGTCCGAATGATCAGTTAATTCTTTAGGAGGCAACAGCATAATCTCTGTTAGCAATGAGTATGTTCACAATAGTCGAGTTATCAGGCGCAGGCTAAAACTCGCTTCTTGAGTTGGCAAAGAAACCACGTGCTGTGAAGACAGCGGTGGCAAGAATAACGAGCACATATCGCAGGTTCTTCCAACTTTTTCGTACCATATGCCCTCAAAGGCACGTTCAACTCAACGGACGCTCAGTCCTATTTTATCTCGGGTTTCATATCACAGTCCACGACAATTCGTTGAGCACCTTCCTGACAAGTAGCTCTTTTCATGACTGTCCAAATTCCCCATTTGCATTCCCTCGAGCGTTGTCCCGCTTTTTGTATCCGACGATACTGATGCTGCGGCCTTGTTTGAGGAAGACCTGATTGGTACGTTTGTGCGTACGGCATCGTCTCACTGTCTATCAATCACGAAGTGGCACATTTGGCAGTATTTCTGGAGGGCTTTCATCCTTTAGCTTTCAATTTGTACTTTCATCGCTATCCGACTGTTCACTGGTACAGTCAGGTGCTTTTGAAATCCATACTAACGGCAGCAGGCGAGGGACTCCTGAAGTTGACTTGTTGCGTAATCTATACCTATCTTCACGAACTTGAAATATCGTTATCATTGATTTTCAAGCTGACAGTTAATTTATTGGTGCGACTGCCGTCCCTTGCTCTTCCGGACAAATGACGGCTCTGACCAAGTCTAGATACGATGAATTTCATTCTATACCATTCAAATGTTTTTATGGCCGGACAAGCTTTCCCTTGGTCTTAAGCGCTGACAGTGGTGGTTGCTCTCCGTCCTCTACGGCAGAGATACTTGGATGTTTCGTCCTGTTGGACACACTTGCCTTTAGGTCTTTGACCATCGTTGCAGACGGAGCATTTCTCGTGTCGGGTGGCACCGTGGACGATGCTCACAAGCGAATCTTTTCTGTCAATGGTCGGCTCTGTTCGTTAGATTAACTAATTTCACGCAATACGAATCGTATACGGTCGTGTGCTTTCTCGTTTTACTCAGTCGTCTACTATGGAGATGGGTCTGGTTTTGTTTATTCAATATTGAATGGCATACGATACTTGCGGGTTGACCCCTTGCTCGAGTAGCTGGAAATGAAGTCTCTAGAATCCTAACGGTACTTCTGATCCGTCTCATTTTCTTTGTTGACATCCACGCAACGTATCGTGCTTGCTGAGTATGGCTTTCATCAGTGGCTTATTTGTCGTCGTTTTGTGGGACTGTTGGTTTAAAGCGAGTATTCTGCTAGTTGTCTGTAGCTACGATTTACTATGATGCGGATAATGAACTCCATGAAATCTGTCCCGCCGGTGCCACTCTTTCACACGAATGCGAACCATTGGTATGCAGTATATACTCATACTTATTCACAAGTCTGAGGACAGGCAAATGTGCCTTCAGAACTTTAGCTCTAATGGGGTATGAAAAGGTGATTGTGCAAAGAGAAAAGAAAGGCTCTTTTCTCTCTCCATTTTTGTGTTCCTCTTTTCCTTTTTAGTATTTCACTTACGTTCTTTTAAGGTATCTGTTTGTTTACAACTACAATTTTGCCTGAGGGGGAATGTTCGAACAACATCGACGCCTTTGGTTTCGGTTACGATCCATAGCCTCAAAAACTTCAAACCATTTGGAGTCCCCAAAACCTGGTCCTCAACCTGGAGGACTGAGCTATCCTGCTGATGTCAAACATGAGGGGACATTCTTGATGTTCCTCTTCAACGTCATCGGTTGTCCGCCCGGGCAATTCCTCCACTCGCCCGGGAATTACAAATAATGCTCGACGAGGAAGTCGTTTGATTGGCATGCGCAAAACGTAACCAAACCAACGTAAACGTTTTTCTAAAATAATACCCTGAAGTCTGAGATTGTTCGCTCCGAGTAATCGGCTTCTAACTTCGAATTGCTTGCATGGTGTTGACTTTGTTCGCAAGCAGCGATTGTCGAAAGATGCTAGTCGTTTCAGAGCTTCTGCACGAACAGGCCAGATCTCGCAGCTGTACAGCAGGACCGCACGGACAGTGGCACTGTACAATCTGCCTTTGAGCTTTAGACTTATGTCGCGGCTGCGCCACAAGTGTCTCAGGTTAGTGAACGCCGGATGGGACTTAGTTATTCACTGAGACACTTCATCCCCAACACCGCCACCCGCTGTGATACAACTGATGAGATAAATGAAACCATTCATTTGTTCCAGGCAATCACCTGGCACTGGTACTTGCGAGTCTTGAAGCAGGGTTTTACACTTGTATTTGGAAAAATACAAACCGTACTTAGATGCCTAGATCGCTTAACCTTTCAAAACGTTTTGCATGGCTTTTGGGTCTTTCCTCTAGCATAACGATGTCATCAGCACAATCCAGGTCCGAAACTATTCTTGAGGAGGAGCTCAACGCCGCAGCACTCGGCTTCCTCCAGAGCGCGGTGGAGAACATCATCGGTGGCAAAGTTGATTAAGTGGTGAGGTTGGGTAACCTTGGCGTACTCCGCTGGTAACAGCAAAAGACGAATCAAACCTCCCGTAAGCTTTAACTTTGCCCGATGTGTGACAATAGAGTTCTTTCAGGCTTGTGACAAATTTGCCAGGTACACTGCTTCTTAAAAGCAGTACACCAGCACTTCATTAGTATGAAGTGCTTGTGTACTGCTGTGCTGCCTACAGTCGACTCTAGCAGTGCCACTTTAGGGCAGCGATACTTGGCTGAATATATGGATTACTCTTTATTAGTCTCCTGAGCCGATTTCCGGCTGCTCTTATAGTCCTTTTTAATGTCATTACTTTTATAATCTGTAGACGGTTCGCACGCATTGAACAGATGAAACAGGTCATCTGCACTCTTCGTAGAACTGTTGTCAATACTACTGCTAACCTTCAGGTACCCAGAACTCGATGGAGGCCACTGAATTGTTGAATACTAGTGAAGCTTACTAGACAAACCTCAGCTAACCAATCCACATCGAGGGTGCACTTTTGAGTTGAACACGCCCCCTGCTAAGTCAGCATTGACAGTGAGGTGTCACTTATTAACACAACTCTCAGCATTCTTTCATCTTTTTACTTCGTTTATACATTGTATGTCTTTACGGCAAATCTGATTGTGACATATTCCAGACATTATCACTCACGATAGCAGTCATCCTGGCTCTTCAACTTGAAGCTCGCATTCCCGACAGGGTCTGTCGTAATGCACCTCATTGGCCAACAAGTGGTGTTGACAATCCGTCTGTGATTCCATGGAATTGGTGGGTGTCGCATCGTCAAAATGGCCGCACGAGTGAGAATCACAATGCATCGAGGGCAAATAGGACGAGATGATTGCGGCAAACGAACACTACAATTGTTCCTATCCCGTTGCTGACTGTATAACTATTTCGCCAAAGTAGTGTTTGGGGAAAGTTATGAGACAGTTAACACCTGTTCGGATGTGGTTTGGACTTGGGGTCTGATGACAGCTAAGAGATCATGGTAAGGGAAAAGGGCTCCCGACCGGTTTTTTTATGCACGTTCCACCATAAGGTTGCCCAAAACTGCAGTTGCATACCGAATATGCCGCATAGCACGCCAACCTGACAGAAAGTTCACCTCTCCTCTCCGATTCCAGGAAATTGTTTTCCGCTTGTCTGAGATCTCCGCAATAACACAAATTCTCCGATCGATGAGCATAACCTTCACTATGCTGAATCTACTTACTTCTCACATCAACCTGTTTTCTCTCGATGCATTTTCCTCGAGATAATTTACCACTCTCAGCTACACTATGTTTGTTGTTATGGTACACTATTTATGCTGTTGCGAGTAATTGAACCGAAGGTGTTCCCACTCTGTTCACGCATTTTCTGCACATTTGTGTGGTGTGTGCTCATCGCGACGGTTCTGCTAAACGAACTTTCCACAACTTTTCCAGTAGTGGACTTGTTGCTCAAGAGTTTTCGTCTGTTGAAAGCTTTCACTAGTCTACAGTTTTACACCTGATTTTCTACTATTCGCTGTCAGTTATAAAGGAACAGAGAACACAGAAGAGTCTAACAAAGAACTACCTCTTGATGAGAATCCCGTTCCACCGGACGCGAATGTCACTATACCAGAAGAGACTCATGAAACTGCAAATAATCTCCCTTTGGAGAAGGTTGTTCCTCCTCCCCATCCTTCTTCTTCCTCATCGAAGCGCAGAACAAATCGCTCTCTGCGCACCCGTAGAAGTCGCACTCCGTCAGACGCCAGCTATTCGGAGGGTGAGGTTTTATCGGATTCTGAAGAGGAGCGCGCGGACTCATTACCGGAAGTGGAAGGTCAGATCACGGAGATTGGCGAGCGTACGAACATTGACATAGAGGAAGAAGAAGCCGAGGAGCTTATTCGGATGGTAAATGATCAGCTTCGCGACCCTACTCCTGCCAGTGACATCGATCTGACGGAGCTGGAGATAATGGACGAATGGGCCCCACCCACCTCTTCGCTTATGGTTGCCTCGCGCTCTGATACCTTTGGTGATGAACCCACGGCTGTTCAGGTGAGTACGACAATTCACTCGCACTTAGGCGTCACGTTGTGTTCATTTTCAATGGATGTTCTGATAACCTGTCATACTTAGCGGCTGTCGAGTCTTTCCAACCGAAGTTAGACAAGCGAGTTTGTGCTTCTAGCATAAACATCTACTAGTGATCCAACACGAAATGTCTGAAAGTTAATGCAATGCGTTCGCACAGCCGTCAGTCTACTGACCGCTGTCCCATCTCCTGCATGACAATTTGCTAACTGATCCCGTACACATATGCACTCACCTAATCAAATGTTATAGTTTACGCACCCCTACGACCCACCGGGTTACATCGTGTAATACTTTCTTGGTGTCCCGAATATCATTGCTGCCAGTACCTAGAAATCAGATAGATTCAGTCTCAGTACGAAATGAATGGCCTTCTTTGCTCGAAGCTCAACAACGGAAGACAACGGGGTGTGTAGATCACAACTCATTGTAATTAGCACACTGTTCAAGTGTTGCCTGTTGTTTGGGGCTTCAAAAGAACAACGTCCGTGCTCATTAGTTTACCAATACCTACCTCAAGCCAGGTGGGAATCTACCAAAATGCAAAAGTTGCTGAGCAGTTGCAGGTTCGCAGGTGGTTACGCATTTTTCAACCAGTGTGTGTCCATTCTTCAGCCTATGACCACGGCTTTCTGCATACACATTTCCGAGCATGATCTGCTCCTCACTACCGTATGCACCGGACTATTTGTTCGAATAATGTGAGTAACTTCGTCCAAACAGGATTTTCCATTGCGTTATGATTACTTAGACGTTAATATTTTAGAGCAGACCCCATTTCTGGAAGTGGGCAATCTGAGAATATCATCTACCCATTGGATTTTTTTCATTGTTGACCTTTTCCTTTCCTTTACACTTATCTACCATAATCTATCAGCTCTATCCTCGTCATCTGAACTAACTAGAGCCCTAGATCATCTTGTGAACCTAAAATGTCTCGTACCTTAGGCCTTACATTTTACCCCGACTAAGTCAAATCGGTTAACGAATGTCGTTTCTTGTGACCACTGCCTCTCTCTCTTGCTGAGTTGCTTTTTGATGATTCCAAACCGCAATTGTAACGCTACGGCGGTTTTCTTGATGCGCATCTTCCAAATCCGGGATTAGATAGTCCAACTTGCAAACTTCTCATTACTTGTGATATAGACTCAAGCAGTTTCTGTATGGGGTCGTTCTTAGCAAAAGCAACGAGGCTGCTCTTCGGGAGCTCCATCAGTGTTTATAGACTACAGTTAATTGCATAATGCATTATTTTTGCATGTGCTTTCCCATATTACTATGTTGAACCCTTCAGTCCCCTTTATCCTCCCGTTCTGGTAGCCCGAGTTTCCAAACGTAAGCATATCTTAAGCGCCACGGGTGACACCTCGGCTCAACTCACTTGCCCGGCAGTGTCATGATGCTCGCCTGGGAGACCGTTTTTCCTAGATCATTGTGTACCCTGGATCTAGCCTCCGTGTTCGTTGCTACGAAGCATTGGCGGAGATTCATTACTGATTTTGGGACGCATTCCTCGGAGATTTAATGCCACTCCGCCAGCTCCAGCTCTCTCTTATGGAATCTTTCAACTGGTCAGCACAAGATCGAATGGGTCCACTCTTAAACTAAACAGTACTAGACAGTCGGCTTGGCCTTCTAATTCGAGCTTTGTGGTTGTCATTAGAATAGTGTTTTACACCACCCACTGCAAAGCATTTGTGTTTCTACCAATTCTATTTTTTGTTTAAGTGGATCAGTTTCTAGCTATCCCATCACTTTCATTCGTTTGATTTGGCTCCAAGAGTTTCTTAGCGGAGGCCTCAATTGACATATCTAGTAGGTAAATGGATGCAGCGAGACGCTTTTAATTTGTAAAACAAAAGCTTTCTGTGCAATGACCATGAAAGCGATACCCTTATAAGTTGTTCGTGACGGGAACTAGTAACAATGCAGCACACCTCATGGTTGAGCGGTGCAAACCAACTGGGACGCCACGCTGGAGTCGATGTTTAATTTAAACGAACAAACGCAATCCACAGTTCAACATTTCGCATTTATCACCTAGTTGTACAGTGGGATGGTAATTTTATGCGGTGAGCTCAGGATCCTGACTTCTGCAGCTTGTGCAAAGGACACCTCATGTTAAACAAGACCACAAAATCAGAAATATTTACGTATGTCTTGAAAAATTCAGAGATGAAGACAAATCCCCTTGCTCTTCGGCAATTTGGACTCAAACGCTACCCTTGTAACGAAGTATAACATTGGCGAACCCTGTCTAGCAATGCATAATCACTTCTCGGGAAAATTGCTGATCTCGCTATCTTTTTGTAGCAAATAGATTTTACGAACACATGTAAAGTGATGTTACAGGAAACTTGTTGACATTCCGATGTCAACGGTGGAGTCGCTAAACTCACTTACTATCGAAAAAATAGTTCCCACCGCCTAGGAGCACCACAGCACCGCAAACAAAGTGTGACCACATACATTAGCGAAAACTGGTGGAATGTAAACCAAAGATTATTGGTGGTTTTCTATGTATCGTAGTTGGGATTGTTTATGCAGCGCCTGACACAGCAATGTCAGAGGCAAAGTAGTTTGCAGACCATCTTGTGTCGGAGTTGCAACCAAAAGTAGTGTGTGTCATCTATGTTGCTACCAATCACTTCAACAAAAGTAACACAGTTTTCGTTGACACACTGGGTCTAAGCAATCTAGTGAAATTCCCTACCAAGATCGATACACACTTGAATTCAGTTGTCATTAACAAACGCAACTTGTTTGTAATTCGGACAACTGCATGTTAAAGACATGTCCCAATACTTACTGTCAGCTCAACTACGTCGCGATGACCAAATACGCCATTCGGAACGGTTACATAACAAAACTGTCCAACAGTAAACATCAAACTCAAATCGGCGCTTTATTTGACGGATTCCCCAATTTTCACTACTGATGTCTTTTTGGTCAATTCGAGCACTCCAAAGACAGAAAGTAATAATTTTGTCTCAATCCATGTTATCTTATTGGGAGTAACAACGTGGGGATTGATAGATTTTCATCTCCACTACTCAAACAACTACGTAAAAAGGAAGAGCAGGCTTATTAGTATACGGTAGCTACCGGTATCAAATACCTGTCCGTGGCTATACAAGCAGTGGTAAGGTTCAACAAACTGAACATTGAGACCATTTTAGGCCATAGTTGCTGTGGAATGTGGGCTCTTGAAGCAGCTCTTCGTTGGACATCTTAGAAGCGAGCCCTCGCACTGTGTACGTGGACAAGCACAACGCAGAGTTCAACTCCGCATCATCTGATATTCTCCCACTTTTCTTCCACCTCACATATTTTCAATTTATTTAACCTCACCTGTGTTTACAGGGAAGTCAGGAAAATGAAGCCAACCAAGGCTAATGGCCCTGATACCCTGTCACCCATCACTCTGAATGAGTGTGCGGCTGCAACATATAGTCAAACTTGTCTAAGGCGACCACTCAGGGGACCCACAAAAGTGGTCGTTTTGCACAGGTGGTCCCCCATAGGCTGGTTCATGCATGGGTGACACCACTCCTCATCGATTGCACATGTGTACTGCGCTTTGTAATGCAAACTGTGTCCGTAAACAGACGACATCTATACTTACTTTTAATCTTCGAATTAAAGCAAAACCAGTACTATTGTATAGTATAAGCGATAGTATTTTAAAAGGTTTCTAACCATGTCTTCTCTGTTGTTTCTCGTGTAAAATCGATATTATGCCTTATCTTATCTTAATGAGTAGACATTATAAAAACCCACATGCCAATCCGCGTAAGCCATATGTTTTCACAAGATTATACGCACACGCTCCTCTATTGTCCGTATCATTAACCACCGTAGCAAAACAATTCAAGTACAGATGTCTGTTGCTTTGCAGTTGAAATGACAGATGAATTTAACTTTTTCCTCTTGTTCATGACAAGTTCAAGCATGTCAATGAGCCCTCTATTTATTGCTTAGGAACACGAAATATCAACAGCACCCTGTGCGTCTGTGAATTTATAGGCTAGCGGAGCGTCTGTAGAATCTTGTTCCTGATTCACTATTCCTATCCTCAACTGCCATAATTGAAGTGGTGGTAGCAAGGTCCCAGGTTATTTACGTTGTGTTACCAGTTTAGAGATTTGAATCAACCCTGAACCTGTCAGTGAGTTGACATCCAAACAACTTTTTTGCAAGGTTATACAACAACAACAACAACAACAACAACAACAACAACAACAACAACAACAACAACAACAACAACAGTACGTACCTAATTTGAGCTGATGCTTCGTTTCCGCACAACGAATAACCGCGGAAATCATGAAGGATAGGAACGTTGGAGGTTGAACGGGTCTAAACGTCCTAAGCGAACATTCAGGAGCTACGTGCCTACGCCTTGTCGACAACGTGCGGCCACAGGCAGCTGGCTATACCTCAGAGATAAAACGGCATAGGCGAGACAGTTTCTTTGGGGTTTTTGCTGTCCTGCGTCATAAACAACCAGTAACCCGCAGGTAACAGCACCAAAACACCATTTAAACAGGCACTCCGACTAATGGACCTCGGGAGATGCGACACCTGTGTCGGGTCAATTGCAAAGCGCGTCACGTGGATTCCGGCCAGAGTGCGAAACGGACCAACAGCACCTAATTTGGTTCCAACTGACAACTTAAATTATGTTCCTCTTCAAGTCCTGCGATACCTCAGATCCGGTAGATAAACAAGGTTGTTTTCGGTAATCCATCATAGCGCATGCGTAGCATGGGCTTATTCAATGCGACTTACAGCTCTAACGAGCCCATCTGGTTGACGCCTGGGTGAGAAAGCTGATTGCCAACGCGCGCGCGTTCGCCTCAAATCGTGTTTGGGACAGACTCTGCGAGCGTATTGCCAGTGCCAGCCGAAAGCTGATAAAATCGCGCATCAGACAGCAGGCGTGTTGCCAAAGTCTGACCGGA